GGTGGGAACCGTGGAGGGGAGCTATGACGGGGAAAAAGAGGAACAACTGTAATAATCTGAACAATAACGATTTAATAAAAAAAATAAATAAAATAAAAACACCAATTCACATAGATCAATGTACTCCACACTCCCTTGCCACTGTTTCCTACTGGTGCTTGAATTCATGTCCCAGTTAGCTTTTAGGGGAACCCAAACTAAAATTGGTCTATTCCCAGGACTGGGGTGTCTGGGCCACAGGGCATGAACATCTTTATGGTTCTTTTCATGGTTCAATTTAAACCAAACTCCTTCTCTTTCTGTTTTCATTTGCTGATCCCAAAAATCAGCATCTGGCGGCTCAGACAGCTGCTTCAGATCGTTGGAAACACGTTCACACGTGTCCAGCCATGTCCTGCTTCCTTTCTTCATGTACACAGAGGCTGAGGAACTTTGGGAGTTGACATCATCAAGACAGATTCTGTGCCCAGGAGCCTGCAATTTATCAGAATGTAAAGAATGTGAAAATAGAATTTAGCCTGCAGATTGTGTTCCTTATCAAATGTCTCCAAGCACGTTCCACCAGCGGCACAAATTAAGCCTTTACCCAGAAGATACATTATCTCTGTGTGAGGCCTTCCACATAGTTTTCTAATGGAAGTCATTAGAAGCTTGGCTCCCACAGATAAGAGACCAATTCTGCCCAGCCTGTGAGTCAGCAATGACATCGAATCCTGCTTTGGGCTCTGTCTGGCAGGGATACTCCGGAGGGCTTGCAAGAGCTTCTGGGAAATCAAAGGGGGACAAGAGTCAGCCCCAGGGACCTGGGTGACAAATGTTCATTGAGTCCTTCTATGTACCAGCCATGGGATAGATAGAGAGTTTAAGAGACATTATTTCTTCCCCTCAAAAAATTCACAGAATAAGACAACTCAAATGTCCATCAATGGATGAATGGATGAACAAAATGTGGCTTACTCATATAATAGGATATTATCCAGTCATAAAAAGGAATGAAGCACTGACACAGGCTACAAGATCGGATGAACTTTGAAGACACTGTGCTAAAGTGAAAGAAGTGGGTCACAAAAAGGTCATCATCATATTGTATGATGATGCCACGTACATGAAATGTCCGGAATAGGCAAATCCAGAGACAGAAAGTAGATGAGTGGTTCTCTGATGCTTGGGGAAGGAGGAAATGGGGTGAAAATGCTAATATATTTCTTTTTGGTGGCATGAAAATGTTCTAACACAACCTCATGAATATACTAAAAAACATCGACTTGCCGTAGCCGGGTGCTCAGTGGTTAGAGCATCATCCCACGGACTGAAGGGTCAAGGTTTCGATTCCAGTCAAGGGAACATAATTCTGTTGCAGGCTCAATCTTTGTGTATGTGGGAGGCAACCAATTGGTGTGACTCTTTCACATCAATGTTTCTCTCTCCCTGTCTCTCTCCCTCCCTTCCACTCTCTCTAAAAAAAAAAAATCAATGGAAAAAATATCCTTGGGTGAGGATTAACAAAAAACCAAAAAATATAAAACATTGACTTGTATAGTTTAAATGGGTGAATTGTATGGCATGTGAATTATATCTTAGTAAAGCTTTTATTGAAAAAAGAGAAAAACATTCAGAGAAGAGAAGCATATTATATGAAGCAAGTTCTACAAAGTTCACAAAGGAAGTGAGATTTGAGCTGAATCTTGAAGGTGATTAGGGAATGACTAGGAAGAAAGTGGCTCCTGGCCGAGGGGACAGCACAGGAGCACACAGTGTGAGGAAAGGACTCCAGCAATCGATGAAGATAGAAAGAGCTGTGACTTTGAGCTTGTGTAGGATGGGGTGGAGGATATTTTTCCATTGATTTTTAGGGAGAGTGGAAAGGAGAGAAAAGACAGAGAGAAACATCGATGTGAGAGAAATACATCAATTGGTTGCTTCCTGCACATGCCCCAACCAGGGTCCAGGCCAGGGAGGAGCCTACAACCGAGGTATGTGCCCTTGACCGGAATCAAACCCTTGACCAGAATTGAACCCGGGACCCTTTGGTCCGGAGGCCTACACTCTATCCACTGAGCCAAACCAGCTAGGACCATATATGTTTTTATGTAAATGCATTCCAGTGGTTCTCAACCTTCTGGCCCTTTAAAACAGTTCCTCATGTTGTGACCCCCAACCATAAAATTATTTTCGTTGCTACTTCATAACTGTAATTTTGCTACTGTTATGAATTGTAATGTAAATATCTGATATGCAGGATGGTCTTAGGCGACCCCTGTGAAAGGGTCGTTCGACCGCCAAAGGGGTCGTGACCCACAGGTTGAGAACCGCTGCATTAGACCATCAACAATGTCTCATACTTTGCTTTTAATATTAACAAAAATATTAGATATCCTTCCAAATTTGTATGCAATGAATTTGTTCATTTTTTAATGGGTATGTAGGATGTACCACATTTTGATAAACCAATTTCCTATCAATGGACATTTAGGTTGTTTCCAATTTTTCCTTCTTAAAAAAAAATCTGCAATAAATAATCTTATACATAGTACATTTCACATATGTATGGATTTATCTGTAGGTGAAATTCCTAGAAGTGGAATTGCTACATTACAGCACTTGTGCTTTCTAATTTTGTTTTCAGAGTTCAACTTCCTATTGAACGCGTTACAAAAGAAGTTTAGTCAAAAAGACCAAGGCCCGTGTCATCATCAGACTCCAAAGATTCTTCTTTCTTTGCCTCCACTTTCTTCTCCTCAGCTGGGGCAGCAGTGGAGGGGGCAGGACCATTGGCTGGTACAGCACCAGCTACTGGGGCAGGTCTGCCAGCCCCTACATTCCAGATGAGGCTCTTGATGTTGACGTTGGATAGAGTTTTTGCAAACAAGCTGGACCAGAAGGGCTCAACTTTTACACCAGCTACTTTAATGAGGGCACTGATCTTATCATCTGTGACCATCACCTCATTGTTTTGCAGGATGAGGTCTGAGCTGGTGTGGGTGGGTGCTGGGTGAGTGCTTCCAGCCATGGTGCTAGTCGCTGGATGGAGTGAGGGCCTCACCCCAACTCGGCCTTAGCTTCGTAGGAAGAACCCAGCATCTTACTAGCAGCTGGGGAGAGGGACTTAAATTTTGACAGATATTGTAACACTGTTCACAATAGAGGTTGTACCAATTTATTCTTCCATTGGCAATGGGTAAAAGAGCCTGGTTCCCCGCCTTTTGGGGAATATGTTTGGAAATATTGTCAATTACCAGTTCATGGAGAGCCTTGTATACTAAGCAAAGAAGTTTGAACTTGATCCACAGACCATGGACACCCACCGGAGGGTTTAAACACTGGATGAGGATGGATAGGTTTGAAGTTTTTTGTTTTGTTTTTTTAATTATTATTTTCTAAATATATTTTATTGATTTTTCACAGAGAGGAAGGGAGAGGGACAGAGAGCCAGAAACATTGATGAGAGAGAAACATCGATCAGCTGCCTCCTGCACACCTTTTACTGGGGATGTGCCCGCAACCAAGGCACATGCCCCTAGCCGGAATCAAACCTGGGACCCTTCAGTCACAGGCCGACGCTCCATCCACTGAGCCAAACTGGCCAGGGCAGGTTTGAAGTTTTTAAAGCTATTTGCATGATAACATCAAATTAATGTTGTAGGAAATTTTTATTCTCTAACAGACAATGAGTGGTAATGTGATGAATCAGAGAGGGTGAGGGGGAATCTCCATTAGGATTTAAGCCATGCTGGAGAAAATGTGATTATCATTTAGGTACAGCAGCCATTCTAGATAATAAGATTGGATATGAGTGCAATCTGTTTTTTTTACAATCCCATAACTCTAACTTTCCTGCCATTTTTCTTTTATCACATCCTTCCCACAAGCTGATGGCTTCTAATGAAGCATTTGGCCTTTAAGGGTGACGACATAAAACCAATAGCCAGGAATTTTTATCGAAAGCTAACAGTTGAGCAAACGACAAGAAGACAGGTGAGATAGCAGCTTTATCTTTCTCTAGAAGAACATTCTGCAAATTAATTGTATTTAGAACTGGCATTAAACAAAGAGCTGGGGAAAACAAAACAGCAGACACATTCATCCTGAGTCATTGTTTCTTAAACAGGAGGTGGTCGCTATTATTTGATGCAAAGAGAAAAGGAAGATGGATGGCAGATGGCTGTGAAGGCAACAGCATATGAAGGACTGACAGCCAGCTCCATCCAGACTCTCCAGCTGGTTCAAGGATGAGCGCAGCAGGCTTGGTCCTCCTGGGGCTTGCTCTGAGGTTGATGGCCACTCCTGCTAAGCCAGAGGAGAGCAGCGTTTGCTCTAAGAACCAAGTGGCTTTCAGAGACTCTTGCTATGAATTTGTGCCTTTTGGCCGCTCTTTCTATGGCGCCCAGAACTGGTGTGAGGAGCGAGGAGGCCATTTGGTCTTTATTCACGATGAAGGCACCAGCAGTTTCTGCAAAAGCACATCTCTCAGGACAGGGAATGGTGGATTGGACTCACAGGGAACTCGGCTCAGAATGGAACCGCAGAAGGTAGGTGCTGTGATAACTATGTTTTATGGGAGCCAGTGGCTGCAATTCTCCCATTGCTTTCTACCCAGAGCTCCATAAAACAAATTAATATGCCCCATTCTCATGGTAAGCAAACCCTCCTCTTTGGTTGTTTTGTGGATAAAATAATTCATGCACAGTATTTAGCACAGTGCCCGGCACAGAGCTGACACCAGAAACGTGCATTGCTTTGCATATGCCTAATATTCATAATATCTATGAATTCTTTGGTTCTTGTTAGAATAGTGTCCAGCACTATCCTGAGTGTGTCATGTCCATTATCATGTTGAATCCTCACAATAACTGATAATATAATTATTATTGCTGTCTCTATTTTACAGGTGAGAAAACTGAGCCTCGGGAAATAATTACTAAGCTATTTTCAAAGCATTTCCACATGTCTTCCTCCCTATAAGACTGAAGCAGGTCAAGTGCTTAGCGTGGTTCAGTTCACATGGGATAGTCTCATGTTAATGGTTCTCCCAGGAACTCTCACTTAGCCTTTCTCTGGGAGGGCTCCTTCCTCCAACCCCAGCACAACCAGTTGAGTCCTTCTCTATGTACCTGTAGGACCCTTTTGACATGACTTTAGTTATTTAGGTGTCTTCCCCCATAGACAATAAGCTTTTTAAGGGAAGGAACCATATTCTGGCCAATCCCTCCCACCCCCAGTGTCCATACATATCCAAGAATGGACACATAAACCTTCGTATTTAATCCTTACACCGGCCCCATGAGGTAGGCTTTGCTACTCTTATTTTATGGGTGAGGAAAATGAAGTCCAGAGAGAGGAACTGCCTTGCTCAAGAAGACACATCTAGGGAAGGGCAATGAGGTCTTGCACCAGTATCCCGCCATCTCAAACTGCTCTGTGGAAGATACTGGGTTTTAGAAAAGAAAAACTTGGTCTGTGCTAAGTACCTAGAGAAATATACCAGAGTGGATGGAAATGCTTTAATAAAGGGGCAGATGGGAAGCTCATTTGAGGAAGCTCACAGGCAAAGGGATGCAATTTCTACAATGTGTCTTCAGCCAATATCTCTTGAATGGTTTTTTGCTTTGTAGATGCAGCAATTTGTGGATTTCCATTCATATGCATTTAAAGGAGTCGGGTCTATTTAAAATATTCAGGGGATACTGCATAGCTTTACAAAAAATGAAGTAGATCTGAGTAGGCTGATATGTAACAGCTTTCAATAAGTAATGTTATTTGAGAGGCAAGAGATGGTGCTGTGAGCAATGTTATGGCATTTGTGTAAATAGATTCAGGTACTCATGGTTGCTGCTACATAGATAAAATGCAACATGGAACAACACGCAAGAAACAACAATAATGGGAGTGGTCCATAGGTTGGGAAAGGGAAGATGCTTTCATTTCATTCTCTTTTTACTCTTTAAAAAATTTTTAACCATTTGTATGGATTTCTTTTCTTTAAAAAATTAATAAATAGCCCAACCAGCATAGCTCAGTGGTTGAGCACTGGCCTATGAACCAGGAGGTCAGTGGTTCGATTCTGGGTAAGGGCACATGTCCAGGTTGCAGACTCAATCCCCAGTAGGGGGTGTGCAGAAGGCAGCCGATCAATGATTCTCTCTCATTGATGTCTCTCTCTCTCTCTCTCTTTCCCTCCCTACCTCCCTTCCTCTCTGAAATAAAAAATATACATATTTTTAAAAATTAATAAATACATTTTTGAGTCTTTACAGCAAATATTTTATATCTAGTGTTTTCTAGATCTCTAGTGTCCTTGAAAGGCCTCTATATCTCCCTCCCTCCCTCTGTCTCTCTCTGTCACTCTCTCTCTCTCTCTCTCTCTCTCACACACACACACACACACACACACACACACACGTAACATCCTTGGGTTCAAGGCTCTGAAGAGTCCTGAAGTAAGAAAAACTGTGTCTGCTGTAGCTCAGCAGTGCCCATTTCTATTTGTCAAGGGCCCCCTTTCTATGTGAAATACCTTTTAACTCCCCAGGGCACACTCTGTGTTCTTCTTTAGGTTACGGTTAGATAGAGCTGAAAGCATCATTTATTTAGTCAAGCCAACTTCTACAGGCTCTCCAACTTGGTTTCCCGGTGTTTAGGTCGAGTTCTTGTTTGAGTGTTGAAAGATAATGGGTAGGAAATGCTCCATTGCTGGCATGGGAGAGGCCTTCAGCACTGATTGAGCACCTGCTGCTCACAAGGAGCTGAGTTGGGACAAGCCTTGTACATAAAAAGGATCAGAAAAAGTCCTGGTGGTTGTGTTCCCTCCCAGGACCGGGAGTCTGGCTGGACACCTCAAATGTGAACTATAGCCATTGGCACGGAGGGCAGGCCTCTCCTGCTCCCGACACCTGCGGCTACATCGGGAGAGACCCTTCTGCCAGGTGGGCTGCCAAAGACAACTGCGCACAGCTGTTCGCCTTCATCTGCGAGTTTGGTGAGCCTCTGTTGTAGAGTCTACTTCCTTTGCCCCGTCTCTTCCTGTCTCTGTTTCCTTGTTTTCCTGTGTGTCTCTCTACTTCTATCTCTGTCTCTCTGTTTCTCTCTGAATGTCTCTCTAAATGCCCACTTGTCTCTGTGTGATGCTCCATGTCTCTCTGTCTCTGTCTCTCTGTTTCTATCTCTGTTTCTCTCTAAATGCCCACCTGCCTCTGTCTATGTGCCCAGTCTCTCTGAGTGTCCCTCCATCTCCCTAGCTCACATCCTTGCTCTCCCTGTCCATTTACCTGCCTATTAGTCTTGCTTGTCTCTCTCTGTCTTTCTTCCTCATATATCTGCATCTAGGGGGAAATGCCCACTCACCCTTAACTCCTGCTCCCTGGCCAGCCTGAGTCTGAGCCCCCCATGCCCACATCCCACCAGCTCCCAACTGTCCTTCTCTTGTGCCCTTTCTAGCTGCTACCCATGCCCGACTCCCAATGTAGATGCTGGGGACTGTGTATAAGAGACCCTGCCGGAGTGGGATGTAGCCGCATACCAGGTCCTACCCACCAGGTGGGGACTGGGATTGGGGCCTGGCCTTAGAGCTGAGCCTCCTGGTCCCCTGACCCACAAGCCAGGCTTGATGGAACCTTCTGGGCTTTCTGGGTCCAGTCCCCTCCCTGGCTCTAAGCTCCTGGTTCCCAGGCCCTGTCCTGGGTTGAACATTCACAGGAGCTCCTGCTCCATTCTTCTCCTCCCCTAGCTTTAAATAGATGCACTTTGCCCTGCCTGACTACTTCTGAAAAGGTGGAAGCGCCTGTGAAGCCCTCCCTGGTCTGTGCATTATGCAACTTCCCTCTTTCTATCACAGCCTCCCCAAGTCCCTGTCCCCTCCGCCACCCCAACTTCAAGCCTGTCTCTCAGACTCTGTCAGCCCCAGGGTCTTGGAGCCGTGGCATGAGGTCACACTATGAAGAACTAATGAGTATCGAGCAAAAGTTCCAGCACTGAGCCAGACACTCCATGTACATTTCTTCACCATAATAGAAGTCCATCCACCATTCTATTGTAGGCCTATTATAAAGCTAAAAAAAGTGAGACTCAGAAAGGATAAGTTCCTTGTCCAAGGCCAGAGAGCTGGGAAGTGACAGAGATGAGACCTAAAGCAGTTTTGCCTATGGAGAGAGAGAGAGAGAGAGAGAGAGAGAGAGAGACACTTTGGAGATGGAAGAGGGTGCCACAATCCAAGGAATGCTGACAGCCTGTATAAGCTGGACAAGGCAGGAAACAGATTCTCCCCTAGAGCCTTCAGAAAGAACCTTGATATCAGTGCAGTGATACCCATTTGTGGACTTCTGACCTTCATAACTATAATATTATAAATTTGTGACAATTCGTTACAAGCAGCCATAAGAAGATTTGGTCTCTCCTACTCCGTGGACTTCCCACCAGGCAAACAGGCCTGAGTGTAAATTCAGAATTTCCCACTTTCTGGCTGTGCACACCTGAGCCAGGTCATTCTTTTGCAACAAATGTTTACTGAGCAGGTGCCAGGAAGCAGGTTTGGTGTGGGGCTCTTGGTACAGTGACCCCACTGAGCCCCATGTTCTTAATGGGGAGAATAATAGCTCAGCTCATAGGATTGGTATACTCATTGAAATCACTCATTCATTCAACAAAAGCTTGTTTGGCATCTATCATGTACCGGGCATTGTTTTCAAATAAGGCTCAAGGAAGGTACTTGAAATAGGTAGAATAATAATTGCTACTTGAATAGCCCATATTCTGAGTGTACAAACTCATTCAATCCTCCTAATGACCATATGGAGTATGGGGTAGACTCCCCCTATACAAAGGAGGCACAGAGAAGCTAAGTAATTTGCAGAGGTCACACAGCCACTGGGTGGCTAGGCTGGATCTGCTCTTGGGCAGTCTGGCTCCAGAGTTACTCTCACCCCTGCTGAGTCTGCTTCTGCTGTGTCCTTGCATCTCACAGTCCTGACCCCTGAGACTCTTCCACTTCCCATCAACCAGGCACTTGCCCACCCATGACCATAGGTCTCCTATGTATCACCTTACCTTTGTACAGGTGTCAGCCAGAGTCTGGCCTGCAAGGGCCATGATGCCACCATGCACTGTGGCTTCGGGGAGGTCATTCAGATCCGGGATGCTTTCTACGGGCGCCAGACTCGCCATTATTGCACCCAGGACGCTGGGAGCCCCTTGAACCTGGAGGAGGAATGCAGCTGGGTCAGCGTCAAGGATGAAGTGTCAGGTAGGGCCCAAGGGCTCCACAGCTCTGGCTGTGAGCTCAGGGCAGTTCCTGGTGTCCTGTGCCCAGCAACAGGTTCTGGAAGGCTCCACTAATCCTCACATATGACCTTGAGCCTCCAACATTGGGAAAACTAGCCAGTCTCTGCCACAGCACTGAGCTGGGAAGCAAGGGAGCTATAGCTCACCCTTTCACTTTCGCTCCCCACCCAACTTGGATGCAAGAAACATCACTTTCTTTTTTTAACTTAATTTAAAAAAATTTAAATACTTGAAATACATAGACAAGAATAAAAAATACTTCAATGAACTCCCATAGACCCACTACCCAACATTGTCAAATCATATTTGCTTAAAATTCCCTCACGAAGGAATCAAACACAGCATTGGATATACAGCCGACACTCCTGTGAAGCCCTCCCTGGTCTGCTCCTGTCATAAAGTCAGCGCTTGTTAATCGCATGGGTGGTTTTGTATTGCTGCCTTCTATGTATGCAACCCTAAGCAATATATAATATTGCTTTGCAGGTTTTTAGTGTTTATAAAAATTGTATCATATTGTATGTCATTCTGCGATGTGCTTTTTTTCTCTTTTCCTTCTTTATTTTATTTTTTGCTCAAAGTATTATCCATCTTGATACATGCTGTGTTAGCTTATCTGTTTCATCTATCGTATGTGCCAGAATTTGTCTCTTCCTCTGTTAAGAGTGTATGGGTTGGGTCTTAATCCTTGGTATTGTGAATAATACTAAACAAATGTTTCTGGTGGCATCTCTTGTTCACATGGGAGAATTTCTCTAGGACCTGTTTTTCAAAATTAGATTAAATCTGCTTCTGAGCTGCCTTTGCCCCCTGGGAATGATTCGCTTTAGGCCATTTGACTAGATGCCACTGGACCAGTGGTTCTCAAAGTGGGGTTCCTGGGCCAGCAGTGTTAACATTACCTGGGAGCTTGTTAGAAGAAAATTCTCAAGCTGCCCTCCACATGTATTGAGTCACAAGCCCTCCAGGGAATTCCAGCACAATCCACAGTTTGAGAACCACTGGGATGAACTCTGAACTACTTGGGGATAGGAACCCTACTTCTCTCTCCCCCAGTACCTAGCCCAGTGCCTGGTCTCCAGTAGACAACAACTGGTATTTGTTGGGCGGATGGTGGGTGAATGAATGAACGCGAGGTTATTCATCTGTCTGAACCCTATCCCTTTATGTCCTTCACACCGTTCTGCTTCTGCTGGGATTCGGGTGCTTCCCAGGACAGTGCCAGGGGCTGCAGGCATGCAAATGGGACCTTCTCTGGAGACCTGTGCCCCACCCAGGGCAGCTACCTCTGGGTGCAGTACCAGTGTGGGAAGGTGAGTCCCCAGCTTGCCTTGGTGTGGGAATTCCCTTCTTATTTTCACAACAGGCTCAGCCACCTCAGAGCAGAGAGAGCAGCTACCCTGGGGGTTAATCTACTGTGTGCTAAGAGGCTTCCTAACCCAAAATGCTGTCCTGTGGCCTGGTTTAACCTGGGGATAAAGTACCTGAGGTCCTGTTGCAGAAAGGAACTGACAAGCCAGAAATTTTTTAAAAATGTGTTGTGTGTGTGAGTGTACGTGTGTGTGTTTATCCCCTATTTGTTTATTGAGGTGGCCCAATAAACATAACAGACAAATCCAAGGTTACTTGGTTGAAAGGAGCCAAAAGATCTCTCCCACATGCCATCCCATTCAACCACCACCCTTCCCATAGGCTGTCATTTGAGTACACATAGGCACTTTTAAAAAATACAAATCTTGAAAGCCATAAAAATAACCCACATTATCACAATTTACAAAAGTTGATAAATCAAGAAGGAAGAATCCCTCCCTTTAGCTCTAGACTCTTATTCCCCACAACAAAAACACTATTAACTATTTAGAATAAATTCTTTCCTGCTTTTATTTTTTTTTTTTTATTTTTATTTTTTTTTGCATAAGAAACATTTTATTCGTACTTAAACTTTGTATGACTTTATATATGATTATTTTAATGAAAATATAATCACATAAAAATATTAGTCTACAACTCATTTACTGGATATCTCTCCAAGTCAATACTTATTCTTTTAATAACTGCATAACATCCCAGTATAAGATTATGTCAAAATGTATTTAATCAGTTTCCCTGCCTGTTGATAAACATTTAAGTTGCTTCGGTCTTTTGTTGTTACATATCACTCTGCAGTGCTTTCTTGTACATTCTCGTGCATATATCTTGACATGTGCCTGATATTATTTTTAAAGGAGCAATCCCTAGTAGTGGAAATGCTGGGTCACAGGGTCTGCATTTTATTTTATTTTAAACTAGAGGCCCGGTGCACAAAAATTTGTGCACTCGGGGGGCGGGGGGAGGGGGGTCCCCCAGCCCGGCCTGTGCCCTCTCGCAGTCTGGGACCCCTCGGCAGATAACGACCTGCTGGCTTAGGCCTGCTCCCGGGTGGCAGAGGGCAGGCCCAATCCCTAAGTGCAGCCCCTGGTCAGGCTCAGAGCAGGGCCGATTGGGGAGTTGGGGCGCCGCCCCGTCATGCACAGAGCAGGGCGGATCGGGAGGTTGCAATGCCACCCTCAGTCACGCTCAGGGTAGGGCCGATTGGGGGGTTGGGCCCCCGCCCCCTGTCACACTCAAGGCAGGGTCGATGGGGAGGTTGCGGCACCA